CAGCAGTTTTGAAATTGTTTTCTGTGCAGTTACATCTTCCTGTGTGACCTGTGACCCTTCATTCAGGTTACCTGTTAATGGAAAGGAAGTCCCAGAATTCTGATCCTGCTGTAGGATTTTACCTGCCTCCTTTTGATTTTGAGTTGTTGTGGGACAATTTACTCAGCATGTTGGGACCAGAAAGGGCTTTTCCTTAAAGAAAACACATTTAAATGGAAAGGTCCCCAGTCCAGCCCGTTTGGCTCAAGTGGTCGTCACCTAATGTCATTGGTAATGACAGTGGCTGTTCAGGTTCTAGCTCACATTCCAACCTGGGCTTCATTCAGTTGATGTCGGGGCCACATCCAAAGTTAGCCAATATGGGGAGCTTTGTTTTGTTTTGGTTTTTTTGGACATTTGAAATGTTTTAAGGGATACCAGCTACCTGTAGAGTGTGCATGTGTGTAATTTTTTTTTTTCGGTTTTTTTTTCAAGACAGGGTTTCTCTGTGTAGCCCTGGCTGTCCTGGAACTCAATCAGGCTGGCCTTGAACTCAGAGATTTGCCTGCCTCTGCCTCCCAAGTGCTGGGATTAAAGGCATGCGCCACCCCTGCCTGCCAAGTGTGTAATTTTTCAGTGGACCCATCCTTTGCCTTCCTGCTGCACAGCCATGAAGAAACCCCACACCACTATTTGTTTAGTTTTACAAAGCAGGGAAGGAGAAAGGGCAGGGAGTTTCACTCTGTACTGTTTGATTTCGAGCAGCTATTTGACTGTGGAGTCCTGCTCAGGCAGTGTGTGGTGTGACCAAGGAACTTGGTGGGCCACAGATAGGAAGTGGTTGGCTCCTGACACAGCTGAGTACCTAGACATCATACATGCTCATGTCTGCTTTTAAGCCCCTCCCTGCCCTTCTGTGAAGGAAGTCTGTGAAAGAAGGCTCTTGTTAGGAGTCGTCAAGTTGGAAAATAGAGGCTTGAGAGTGCAAAGCACACAGTCAACAACCCTTGTATCCTGGGAGCAAGGGGCTGGGGTACTTTTTTTTTTTTAATCTCTAATAAATGTATACTTATGTGGCACTAACACACTTGATGTAGCTCTCTACCCTTTTCGTGTCTACCTTATCTCCTCAGATGAAGGAGGCGCATCTGAAACGTCAGAAAGTAAAAAATACGCTTTAACCATGGTGTGGAGAGCCTCAGTTCCTACCTCAGCCATTGCCTGTGGCGTTGAGCTCATAATGCCTCCGTGGAATGTTTGACAAAGTGTAGTGTGTACCAGAAAATTACAAATCCTAAGAGTTCTTATTGTTTCTGGAATTGATGTCATATGGGGATTCTCAAATTGCGCGCACGCACACAAATCTAAACACATGGCACCCAGTAGGTTTATTATTGTTGTTGTACATGGCACCCAGTAGGTTTATTGTTGTTATCACTACTACTACATTTATTTGGGGACATGTGTCATGGCACATGCCTAAAGACCAGGATAACCTAAGGGCTTTTTCCTTCGTCACATGGATCCTGGAGATGGTTGGTACTCAGGTTGTCCAACTTGGTGACAAGTGCCTCTACTTGTTGAGCCATCTCCTACCCAGTGTTCTCAATCCTCTCCGATTCTTGAAGAACAGGCTCATTAAATCTCCAGGGGAGCATAGAATAGAGGTACAGGTATGACCTGTGCAATCCGCATGCATATCTTCATGTATAACCTGTGACACTTCATTCAGGTTACCTATTCATGGAAAGGAAATCCCAGCTTGTTAGAACTGGATCCCAGCCAGCTGTGAGGGACTTAGCTGTTGTTACTCTGTGCAGCCGGATGCGAAGGCTTGAGTTTCTGTGTGATGTGATACTTTGTTACATTTTAGGCTGGAGAATCACAAGTTCGAGGCCAGCATAGGCAACCTAGGAAGACCCTGCCTTAAAATAAAAATAATACAAAGGATTGGCTGGGTCATGGAGGTGGCTCAGAGGGTGAAGGTGCTTCCCACCAAGCCTGGCCTGAGTTTGATCCCTAGGACTCACCTGGTGGAAGGAGAGACCCAGTTCCCACAAATTGTCCTTTGACCTTCACACGTGCAGTTTGGCACACATATAAATTTAATTAAACACAAAATTTATATATAACTTTAGGAAATGGGCTCCGGCTCAGAGGCCGAACAGTTGCCTGGCATGCGCCAAGAGCTTTACATTCAGTCCCCAACACTACTCCCTACAAAAACCCATTATCGTGTCTCAGTTACGCTATTGTGGTTTGTAAGGAGGTGAGTATCGATACAGAGACTTCGTTAGCTTCAAATTTTAAAAGCCTATTCATATTACAGTTTCAGTCCATTGATCCTACAACCTATCTTAGATACCGTCAGAGATTTCTGTCATGGAGAACAGAAGTGGCCAGCTGAGGGGCCTACTGAGTCTTATCCTCGTGGGCAAATATGTTCCAGGGCCAGGAATATGAGACTGGGGGCAGGAGCCACTTACGGGAGATGTCAGGAAAGAGTTCTGTAATGGAGTACATTGTACAGAGACCCAAGTGAAAGAGAGTGTGCCTGATTGTTGCACAGAGAAAGGTGAGAGATGAGAGAAGAAATGTCAACAGCAAGGCCCTGGAGCAGGAATGTGGAGGACCAATCAGGAAGCCATGGGGATGGAAGTGGCATCCGGGAGGTAAAATTTGGGCTGCTAGGACACAGGAAGCAATCCGGCTAACCTCTCTGTTTTCGGGGAAATTGGACAGACATGAACAGAAGATGCCAGTCGTGATACCAGCATAGTAGCCTCAGGACAGGGTAGGGTCAGCATAGAGACCATAGGGTGATAAAAGGGGTGCCATAAAAGGGAGAGCCCTCGAGCTGGGCGGTGGTGGCACACGCCTTTAATCCCAGCACTTGGGAGGCAGAGGCAGGCGGATTTCTGAGTTCGAGGCCAGCCTGGTCTACAGAGTGAGTTCCAGGACAGCCAGGGCCACACAGAGAAACCCTGTCTCGAAAAACCAAAAAAGAAAAAAAAGGAGGGGAGGGAGAACCCTCGAAGGGTGGGAAGACCCTGGGAAGGAAGAGTTACACCTGACGTGTTGCTAGAGACATGTAATCGTCCACTGTTGTCTCTGGTCTGAATCTTGGTATGTAGGAGGAGGCCAGCTAGAAATGTGAAAGTGGGTATTGTTGCCTGAGGTGGAGTAATGGGGACTGGCTCACCCAGTTTGGGGGTGGGGGCGGGGGGCTAGGGGGTGTCTCAGCAAACTGTTGGTTTTCTCAATGAAATTAAAGCACATGTATCACCTTAGAGGCAGGAGACTAGCTGAAGTCATCTTGGGCAGAGGGCACATGTAACAGAGTGTCCATGAGGGCTTAGAATAAGTCCTGTGGCCGTGGTGCTGACCGCAGTGGCCCGTGGAGAGCAGTAGAGGTGGAGGGTGAGGTAGAGAGGAGTGGAGAGCAGGTGGGAAGAGAGTGAGCAGTAGATGCCTGGTCCTAGAGGAAAGAAGAGTGCTAGAACCTGGAGGCCGGGACTGTGAAAGCAGGAAGTGCTGGTTACAGATGGTTACTATTGTATGTTGATGATGGTTCACACCTGGATGAATACCAGCACTGAGGAGGGGTATGGAGTCAGGAGAATGAGCCTCATCTGTGAAGTAAGTTTGAGACCAACCTAAGCTTCCTGAGACTATCTAAAAGAAAGGGGGGGGGAATGAAGTTTGGAGCTAGTGCCCATTTTGGTGATAAGGTTGACCTGGTACCCTGGGCATGGGTAGCTATGGTGGGTGCAAAGACATTGGAAGAGTCCCAGAACCCCATGTGCTCAGCAAAATCCTCAGAGGGCATTGGTAACGTAAATAAGATTCATGCAGAGTGTTGGCACCCGTTCACCTGGCTGGTAAAGTTTAGTAACACACACCTGTAATATCACCACTCAGAGACCGGGGCAGAAGGAGCTCGAGTTCAAAGCCAGGCTAGGCTACGGGGCAAGCCCTTGACTCCAGAATAAAAGAAGGAACTGAAGAAAGCAGATATCCTGCTCCAATGGTCCATGCCCATGTCTCAGACCAGGGCAGGGATGTGTTTGCCTGAGAGTGGCCACAAGGGCACCTTCCACTGAGCCTAGGGGAAGAAAGCAAACGGGACTTTTTGGGAAAGCAATGACATCACAGTAGCGGATCACAGAAAGTCTGGGTGATGCTGTTTTTATGATGAGTGAGGCGAACAGACATGCGGGGACAGAAGGTCACCTCTCAGATTGTGGAGCCTGTCCCCGAGAGCTGAGGTGGGCGCTCTCCATTCTTGCTTTTTCAACTCTTGCATATCGTGCCTGACATACAGAAGATGGGAATGGTTTTAATGGGGAAAAAAGAATTACATGCAAAGAAGTAGAACATTGGGCTGGAGAGATGGCTCCGCGGTTAAGAGCACTGACTGCTCTTCCAGAGGTCCTGAGTTCAATTCCCAGCAACCAGACGGTGGCTCACAACCATCTGTAATGGGATCTGATGCCTTCTTCTGGTGTGTCTGAAGACAGCTACAGTGTACTCACCTACATAAAATAAATAAATCTTTTTTAAAAATGAGAATGTAATTAATTTTGTCTTAAACCAACAAAGAGAGAAAAGAAGCTAAAGTTGGTCTTTGCGGAGAGGAAAGGATTTTTGGCAGTGGTACAGTAGAGCTTAGGGTAAAAATCATACATTTAGACTGGGAAAAGGGACTCCTAAGCAAAGGTCACAGGTGTCTAGAGTTGAACTGAAGTCTTTTCCCACCCGGAAGTGGTGCATGGGAAATAGTATGCCTGTGTGTATCTTCAAAGACTCAACAAGTAAGAAGGTTTATCTTTTTAAAGATGGACTTATATATTCGTTATATGTTTTTCCTAAATGTCAAGGTGGGCTCCCATTCTGGGTTATTGTCAGGCCGATTTCTGCAGACAAGTCGAGAAAAGTGTTGGCTGGCATCTGTCTTGCCCTGGGAAGTATGTTCTGCAGCTACTAGACCATTATCATGCTCTTTCTTGTTGTCGTTTTAGTGACAGCTATATTGTGCGTGTCAAGGCTGTGGTTATGACCAGAGATGACTCCAGCGGGGGATGGTTCCCACAGGAAGGAGGCGGGATCAGCCGCGTCGGGGTGTGTAAGGTCATGCACCCTGAAGGCAACGGACGAAGTGGCTTTCTCATCCATGGCGAACGTCAGAAAGACAAACTGGTAATGATAAACAGGCATCGTGGGGGTTAAAATAGCAAGGACTGATTTCTGTGCAAAAGCTACAGCTCATTTCCCTTTGATATTTTTAATATAGCCTTCCCTTTCCAGTGCAGTCTCTTGACCACACACCATACAGAGTGCATGTGGACAAGGGTATTTGACCATCTTGCTTGCATCTTTGATGAATCAGGGTGTTCCGTTATAACAGGTATTTAAAGGAAAAGTATGTTCTTTATGATGACAGGTCATATATTGACTAACTGTAGAGTCAGGGTTTCTGTAGAGGATAGCATGTGAGAGAGTATCACCTTACATTGGTTCCTTCTAAATAAATGTTTGTCTGAAAGATACCAGAGCTTGGGGCTGGGGAGATGGCCAAAGCGTAAGAGGCTTCAGTGTGTCAGCATGAAGACCTGAGTTGGATCTCAGTGCCCACATAAAAACATGGTGGCTGTAACCTTTTAACCCCAGCACTATACGAGACAGGAGCATCACCATGGCTTAACGACCCAGCCTTAGCTCCAGGTTCAGTGAGACACCCCAAGGAATAAGATAAGGGGTGATAAAGCAGGGTACCCGATGTCCCCCTCTGACCTCCACTCACAAAAGCACACATACATGACACAAACACATACAGCTTTCATGTCATAAGCATTAGCGAAGTGTCCTTAGTAAAGAAATATACAAAACAGTAGCAGGACACTTCCATCAGTAATTGTGCGTGCTTTTAGACAAATGCAAGATGAAGTGATTCTTACACCAAGGGTGGGTACCATAGAGTCTTACGGAGGGAACTTAGATGGCCAGTTACATAGGTTTATGATAGAGAGGAAGACAAACCTTCCAAGTCCAGTTTATTCTGCTTTTGGGGGTACCAGAGCTCAAACCTAAGATTTCATGCATGCCAAGCATGCACTTTAACCCTAAACTGCACCCCCAGTCCAAGTTAGCCTGTCTCCCCTTCTTGCTTACTCTCTTGCTCAGGAATGAACCCAGGGCCTTCACGTGATAGACAAGCACTCTCTCTGTAGAGTGCTGCCTGTCAGTACTCCTAAACCTCCTTGAGACTGACTACTGTAAACACAGTTACTTCCCCCTGTCTTTGGAAGTGTATACTCAGAAATCTGCAGTGACTGAAAATGTGATGGATGATATAGGGTCTCCCGGGGGAAACGCAGACAGCAACTGAAATGCCGCTTCACACATGGTTTGTTTCTCAGAATTCTTTCAGTATAGGCAGTGTGACCATACTATAAAGAAAACGAAGTGGCCAGGTACGGTGCACGCCTTTAAATACCATCAAGGGGGATGGCTGAGGCCAGGCCAGCCTGATTTGCACAGCAAACTCTAGACCAGTCAGGACTATATAGTAAGACCCTGTCCCAAACAAACAGACACCACTCCCACCCCCATATATCAGTCAGTCAATCAATCATTTTTTAAAAAGTGAAGTAACTGTCATATGCCTGGCATGTGCCTGCAGCCCAGCATAGCGCTATCCCTTTGGTTAGGTGGAGCTCACAGAAATATTTCTTGTTCTTGGGGACCAAGGCAGAGGCATGCAGGCGGCACTGCTGTGCATTGTTTCATTTTGTCGGTTTATAAAGAGCTCCGGGTCTCACTCACTGTCGTCTGTGTCAAGGACCTTTCCATTTGCTCACACTCGCCTGGCCTTCTGCTGTCAGACCATCTCCTCAATGTCTCCGTGGTATTATGCAGACACATTTAACTGTGTGTTTTTAAAAAGCAATTTGCGCCTGATTTTCACAACCTTTGGTATATAGGGGTGTTACTGATATGTGGGATTGTCCTTATATCTTTTTTTGTTTTTTTCGAGACAGGGTTTCTCTGTGTAGCCCTGGCTGTCCTAGAACTCACTTTGTAGACCAGGCTGGCCTCTGCCTCCCAAGTGCTGGGATTAAAGGCGTGCACTACCACTGCCCGGCTTGAGGTCATAAATCTTAAATCTCTATCAGTTTGATAGAATAGCAGTGATCTCCTTTGATTACTTGTGAATGACCTTATATAGTTTCCTACTTGTTAAAAAATTGTAACTGTCAGTTAGCCAGCGAGATGGCCCAGTGATTGAGGGGACAGCCTCATGGCCTGAGTTCAGTCCCCAGAACCTACATAGTAGGGAAGGTCAGATCCTTGTAGATTATCCTCTGACCTCCACATGTGTTTAACGGCACATGCATGTACACACGCACATAAAATAAGTGGTTTTGCTTGTTTTATTATGACTGAATTATCTGTCAGTGTCCTTTGCATATCTATCTACTGTTACTTTGCTCTTGGTATGTGTGGTGTTATAAAGGTACTCATCTTTACCTGCCATGTTTATTGTTAATATATTTTAATAATTTGTCTCTTGACTTTTGTACTTTCATTGGTATTTTTCTGCAGAATTTCAGTAGAAATTGTTCCTCTTGCGTCCTACTTTGTAGTCTGAGTTAACAGGTTATTTTTTCCTGAAGGATTCTGTATCCTTAGAGCTGTTTTTCCTGGTAGTCCTCTGGCTTGTTGCAGAAAATGTCATCTTAGAATAGTCCCCGTTTTTGGCTTTTTGAGATAGTCTCTCCTGTAGCCCACGCTGGCTTTGTAGCTAAGGAAGACCTTAAACTCCTAATCCTCCTGTCTGTTCCTCCCATATTCCGGGATTACAAACGTATGTCACCACACCCAGTTTTACAACAGCCTTTGAGACTGTCTAACCCAGTCCCTTCTGTTTAAAACTGCATTTATGAACTTTTGTCTTCCCGGTAACTTATACATAGTACGTACAAACCTATCTTTTTGTCCAAGGATCTGACATGAAGAAAATGTCAGTTAAATTCATGCCACACCTGAGGGGGAAAAGGAAAGGAAGAAGAAAGGGAGGGAGGGAGGGAGGGAGGGAGGGAAGGAGGAAGAGAGAGAAAGAGAGGGAGGGAGAGAGAGAGACAGAGAGACAGAGAGAGAAAGAGAGAGAGAGAGACCACCTTATAAAGTAGTACATTGCTTTGTAAGTGGCCGCCAGCATTGGTCACTTTCTCTGTGTTGACCTCCTGTGGAACTGTGGACCAGCCTCTGTTTCTGAGGGATGCCTTCTTCCCACCTTTTGGCCCACATTCAGATTTCTCCATCTCTCCGTCCCTCTCCCTGTTCCTTTGTAAGTGTGTGACTCTGTTTCAGTGCCCAGTGTACTTGAGTCACACACCTGTACCCTGCTTGTGCCTCATCTGTCTAACCCCCACTTTCTGTGTTCCACTCCAGGAAGTTCTGATCCCTGTCCCTACTCCCACACCATTTGCAGGTACATTGGCATCTCTTTGATCTCCCAGCTTCTGTAAGGCATCCAGCCTCTGTAGAAGCTCTGAAAGGGGCTGGTTGTTGAAGGAAGCCCCTTTAAGAGGTGGGGAGAGTAGGAGGTGAGGGAGTAAGATGCTTTTCCGGCTAAGCTGGGGCGCGTGTGAAGTGCTCCTTTTTCATAAGGGTGTATAAGGAGGTGTTCCAAGGTACTGTGTGTGTTTGTTTTGGTTGTGTATTGGAGCCTGTGAGCCTGTTTAACTGATGTGGCATATACATATATATATATGTTAGCAGGTAAGTAGTCATAGAATTTATGGTAATAGAGAAAATCAGGTTGTCTAGAGAAATTATAGTAAACTAAAATTTTGCAGCCCTGCCTAGTCTGGGCTAGCCAGGCTGACCTCAAACTCACGGTTTGTTCCACTTCCCTCTACCTTCCAAAAACTGGGATTAAGAAGAAACTGCATTGGGATTATGAATCTGTGCCACTATACCTGGCCCTTTTCTCTTTTTTTTGGTTTTTCGAGACAGGGTCTCTCTGTGTAGCCCTGGCTGCCCTGGAACCACTCTGTAGACCAGGCTGGCCTCGAACTCAGAAATCTGCCTGCCTCTGCCTCCCAAGTGCTGGGATTAAAGGCGTGCGCCACCACCGCCCGGCAGCCCTTTTCATATAATTGTAGATATTCTTTCTGGATTGTAGGAATCAACTCAAGTAGTAGTAACACTTCCCTTCTTTTATGGGCTTTTTTTTTTTTTTTTTTTTTTTAAAAAGAAACAGGGACTTGGGGATGCCCGGGTGGGCTTTTGGGAGGGTGACCTTGAATTTTTGATCTTCCTGCTTCCATCTCCCAAGATAACAAACTTGCGCTACCCCACACACTTTATTTGGTGCTGGGAACCCAGGGCTTGTTGGATGGTAGCAAGGCATCCTTCCAACTAAGCTACATCCCCAGCCCATGCTTTTTTAATGCTCCCTTCCATGGAAGCCTGCTTTTTAGTCCTTCACCTTGAGTGAGTGTCTTACTCATTCCTGACTGTAGCATTGTGAGTTGGTTTCCTGGAGAGGAGAACATGGGGTTTTCTGGGGTTAGTCCCATCTTCTGGACGGTGACACATTCTATCCTACGGTATAAAAGAAAGACATTTCTTTTAGGTTTTTTTTTTTTTTTTTTTTTTTTTTTGTGGGTAGAAAGGCTTAGGGATTGAGTTGCAGGCCCAGCCCGTTCTCCTTTGAGACAAGGCCTCATTCCATAGCCTTTACTGGCCTTGAACTTACAGTCTTCGGACACCAGCGTCCCCAGTGCTAGATTACAGTCATGTGCTACTGTAGCTGGTCCACACTCCCAGTGTACGTGCACACAAACACACACATTCTTTCTCTCTCTCTCATACATTCACACACAAACACATTATTTAATAGCATTGTGTGTGTGCTCTCTCACACACATGTGCATACTGCATGCACACATGCCACAATGCATATTTGAAAGTCAGAGGGCACACCCACATGGCAGTTTGTTACCATGTAACTCCAGTCCCAGAAGATCTGACATGTGGTACACAGCCATACATGCAGACAAAGTACCCATATATATGAAGTGAAACAATAATAAAAACAAATTCAAAAAAGCATTTAATGGCAAGCTGTCCAGAACTCTGATCTTTGTTTGTTTGATCTACCTTGGAAAGTCAGATCTTACTATTAAGGGTGGGAGACTGCAGTTACTTTCTTGGAGATGGCAAAGTTATTTTCTTTGTTCATTTTCAAGAAAATCTCTGCCAAATGCTCAATTAATCATCCTTGGTCCGGATGATTAATTGGTTGATCTTCTAATAAAAGTGGTGATTCACAGAAAGAGCAGATACAGCCTGCCTATAATCACTTAGACATGGAAGCAGGGAGATCAGAAGTTTGAGGACAGCCATGGCTGTTTATGAAATCCAAGGATATCCTGAGCTACAAGAGAGACCATGTCCCAAAAGGGGGTGATGGAAGAGAAAGGAGAGGAATTATATTTGTACCTATGAAGGCACTCAGATCACAGCTAAACGTCACACTAGCCAGTATGTTGACAGTCATCCTGCTTCCCTGGTCAGAAGAAGGAAGACTTACAATCCCCAGTCTGTGCCAGCTGTGCATCGGTGCAAAACAGACTTTCTACATCGCTGCTACCAAAGCACTGTGTTATAGAAAATATACAAAAGCTGATATCGTGTGTATTTCCCATCATGCCATGAAATAGAGGATAAAAGGCATTCCTGAGTAAATAAAACTAGTGTTGTGCTTGGTGGTAGCCCTAAGCAGCACCAAGCCACCAGGCTGTCATATGCATACTACTGTGTGGTGGTTATACCCCATCCCTCACCTGCAGAAAGCGCCACACAGAGAAATGATGGCAAAAATGCTTTTGTGATACTCTCTCATTTCAGACTCCCAGAAAGGCGCTGGGGATTAGGGAGGCTCCCAACTCACCACAGGCCACCAGGGGAACTATTTGTGTGTAGCAGTGTAGATGGTAGTGTTGTTTGTGAAAGGGGTCATTTGTGTGAACCATGGTTGGATAAATTTACATCTGAATAGAAGAATATCACACAGCCATTGAACCTCCTAAAATGTCTGGGTTCTTTCTTTGATTTGACTCTTATTTGGGGTGGAGTGCTAGAAATCATATAGAAGGCCTTAGGCATATTAAATGTATGCTTTTCCCACTGAGCTGTATAGATACACACGCACACATGCATGCACACACAAAATCCCTGAGGCATGATTTTTTTAAAAAATAGTTTCTGTTTATAAGTGTTTTGCCATTTGTATGTGTGTCTGGTGCCCATGGAGTTTAGAAGAGGTGTCAGATCCCCTAGAATTGGAGTTGTGAGCCACCCCTCGGATGCTGGGAACCGTCTCTCCAGCGGCCCCTCCCCCTCCCCCGACATACTTTTAAGAAAAACGGAAGACAAGTTGCAGAAGCACTTTATAGGAATGGCTAAACTGAAATACAAATCTGGTGTGTAGATAAAGCAGGCAGAAGAAGCTGGGGCTCTCCACCCACTGTGACGGTAGGTGACAGGTTTGAGGAGACACTGGGTCAGGAGTGGGAAAGGAAAGGCTGGGCTCTCTGCCGGTCATGTGCATTACCTAACTCCAAGGCTGGTGCTGGGGCTCAGCTAGGAGGGTGTTCGCCTAGCATATAGACCAAAGCTGTGGGTTCTATTCCTAGCATGTCATGAACGAGACACGGTGACACAAGCTGTGATCCCAGCATGCAAGAGGATTTAGAGAGTTATGTTCAACCACATGGGAGTTCAAAGCTAGTCTGGACAACCTAGGGTGAGGGTGGGGGTCTGGGGGGGGGGAGAAAGAAAGAAAAGGTTAAACAATGATAACCAAAGACTAATTTTTTTTTCATTCCGAAAACATGGGAAACTGAGTCTCTTTCTTGGCCAAAAAAAAGAAAAGAAAAGAAAAAGAAAAAAAGTAAAATAGTAATGATAATAACTTGAGACTTTGAATTGAACTGTTTAGTTTCTAAAATGGATGGCATTTGTTAATTAAAGCCTTGATTATTTGGACTCGCTCAGTTTGGAATGGGGCTGGGCTGGCATTTAGTCCCTGTGCTATTTTTAGGGAAAATGACCATGATAAGCAATGTAATCATAAATAGAATTGTGAGGGGCTGTCCCCTTTCAATGCTGTGTTATAGAATTCAGCCCAGTGCTGCTGTTGATAAGCCAACTTGAATATTGTTATTAATTCAAAGAGAATATTTCGTAGGCAGCATCATTTCTTTTTGCTTTGGTAGATTCTTGAAATTTACACCGTTCTTTAATCTAGATTTACGCTGATTTATATAAGCCTTTACCCTTGCCCTTCACCTAGCATAGATTAACAAGTTCACGTGTGTTAATGACAGAGCTTTGCAAAACAAGATCCAGGCTTAAACCCAGCAGAATCGCTCTGGTGTTTGCAGTAGAGCAGTAGGAATACGTATAGTTCGAGATAGTTACTGATGAGAACGTGAAGTTGATATCTGCCTGGTTGCAAAGCTTCCCTTCTGTGATATGATATAAACTCTGCTGTCTGTCAACAAGAGTTCTGAATTAGATGGACAGTTCCGTGACGATATATCTTGCCGTCTAATTATGGGATCAAGATTAATACACAAGAAACTATTAGAGAATATTAAACTGAGTACTGAGTCATTGTGACTGTGGAGAGAAGAACTGAGTAGATGTCCTTGAGATGCCCTGGGGAGTGAGTTTGAGCTGTTGACTTTCTTCCTTAGTATTTTCAGACCACGTTCTTTTTCTCATTGCTAACATTCCTGCCGATCCCATCCTAGGTAAACAGCCCTAGGTTTAATATAAAGATCAAATGCCACTCCTTAGACTCAGTCGTTAGGAACATGGAGTTGTGCTAATAATTCTAATGCAGTTAGTAATAATACCACCAGAGGAGAGCTGCAGGGACATTGGAAGACACAGGAAATGGATTTGGTGACTAATGGTTCAGGGGACAGAGAAGCAGGAGGCGAAGAAAACCACAGGAGTTCTGAACCAGGGAGAATGAGCAGACAGGATTGGTGTTGCCAGATAGGAGAAAGTTGGGAGAGATGAACTCATTCCCGGCTTGTGTGGACTGACACAGGGAGACAGATCCCCACTGGGACCAGGAGGGAAGGCAAGGGCATCAGTACAGACCTCCTGACACTGGAGGGGCAGGAGAGCTTCAGCACAGCACTGAGTGGTGTCAGTGGGTCAGCTCTTGATTCCAGGTGGAGGGGTGCACACATGGAGGTCAGGGTCTGTTGCCGTCAGTGATGGTTCTCGATTGGGTTTACAGCAGACACTGTTACGGCTGTTGCACAAGTAACCAGCCTGTGTTTCAATCCTTTAGGTGGTATTGGAATGCTATGTCAGAAAGGACTTGGTCTACACCAAAGCCAACCCGACGTTTCATCATTGGAAGGTTGATAATAGGAAGTTTGGACTTACTTTCCAAAGTCCTGCGGATGCACGAGCCTTTGACAGGGGCGTGAGGAAAGCCATTGAAGACCTTATAGAAGGTACTGGATTTGCCACCACTTAGTGAGACTGTGGAATGTTCCAGGTTATTTTTCATTCAACACTCTGCCATCTTGTATCTGTGGCCTGTTTGTAGGAGGGTTTGGGGCCATTAGAAGGTCATTAGATGACAAAACTTTTCTTTTCTTTTTTTCTTTTTCTTTTTCTTTTTTTGAGACAGGGTTTCTCTGTGTAGTTCTGGCTGTCCTGGAACTCACTCTGTAGACCAGGCTGGCCTCGAACTCAGAAATCTGCCTGCCTCTGCCTCCCAAGTGCTGGGACTAAAGGCGTGCGCCACCACCAACTGGCGACAAAACTTTTCAAACACCCCAAGTGAGCAGTTGGGCCGTGGGGTGTTCAGCTTGAGTGGCCTGGCTGGCTGACCTGGGTCTCCCCGTGGGTCTCCATGTGGGTGGGCTTCACCCATTTCACCTGTGGAATGGAACACAGGGCTATAGCTGCCTTTGGGATATTGACTGTTTCTGTAAGTAGCTAATCTGTAACATGAAAGGCTCCTCCATTAGACGAACATAAGCCAGAGCTGGATAGACGGCTCAGTGGCTAAGAGCAGTGGCTGCTCTTGCAGAGGGCCCAGGTTAGGTTTCTAACACTCCCAGCCCCCAAAAGTTAGCTAATGACCACCAGTAACCCAAGTTCTAAGGGATCCAGTGTCCTTTTCTGGCCTCCACAGGCAGTGCACACATACGGTACACAGACTCATGTGCCAGTAAAACACCCGTACGTATACATTTTTTTTTTTTAAAGAAATTTAAGCCAGGTGGTGGTGGCGGGCGGTGGTGGCACACGCCTTTAATCCCAGCACTTGGGAGGCAGAGGCAGGCAGATTTCTGAGTTCGAGGCCAGCCTGGTCTACAGAGTGAGTTCCAGGACAGCCAGGGCTACACAGAGAAACCCTGTCTCAAAAAATCAAAAAAAAAAGAAAGAAAGAAAGGAAGGAAGAAAGAAAGGAAGGAAGGAAGGAAGGAAGGAAGGAAGAAAGAAAGAAAGAAAGAAAGAAAGAAAGAAAGAAAGAAAGAAAGAAATTTAAGCCATACCCATGATTTGAATACATAGGTTAACAAGCTGGAACTCTGCACAGCAATAATAAATTACTTATATGCAAATGTACACAAACAATAAATAATAGGATTCTTAATTCTTTATTTTTTTAGGAACAATGGATTCTTGTACTGTTTCAAATTGATATTTAAATTTTAAAAATGGATAAAGTACTGGGTGTTAAGGCACACGTCTTTAATCCCAGCACTCAGTAGGCAGAGACAGGAAGATCTCTGAGTCTGAGGCCAGCCTAGTTACATAGTAAGTTCCAGGACAGCCAGGAGCCAGAACATTGTAAAGAGGCCCCATCTCAAAAAACCAAACAGGAAAGTGTAAAATGAAACCCAGAGCCGGCTCACCTGGCGAAAGCCTGATGTGCAGGTCTGACAACTAAATTCTGTCCCTGGAGTCTGCAGAGGGGGAAGAGCAGACACTCACATAACTTGTCCTCTGACCTCCACACGCAGACAGTGTGGTACAGTCATGCCTGCACTCACAAACATGCTAATAATAAATAAAGTAGAAGTTAAGAAAAGTAAAACAGAAAGTGCTTTTAAAATATACTTTACAGTTTATCAACAACCTCCAGCCATTTACTAACAAGAATGGATTATTTCATACAGGAGAAATATTTTAAGACAGAAAGCATCTTGTTACTGAATTTCTAATGGTGACTAGATGATAATGAAACAGGGCTGGAGAGATGGCTTGGTGGTTAAAAGTACTTGCTGTTCTTCCTGAGGACCTCAGTTCAATTCCCAGCACAGGTGGTTCATGACCATCTCTTACTCCCGTTTCTGGGGATCATCTTCTGGCCTTCAGGGACACCAAACACAGTTAATACCACAAACAGGTGTGCACAAAACCCTCCACACACATCCAGTGATTACAAGCTTTAGGAAAAGATAATGGTGAAATACTGATATTATGAAATGGTAATTCAGCCTGTTTTTAACTAAAGAGCTGGGCAGAGACAACACTGTCAATCTGCTAAAAGTAGAAAGGGTTGTTTGTGCCCGGGGGCACAGGCTCTGTGCGGGCTATGCTCCACGGCCCCAGGCTGCAAGGCTTTAGGCCACAAATATTCAAATTTTTCTGCACAATTCAGTTACAAATCTCAGGATTCCTGGCGCCAGGGACCCTGAGGGATGGGGACGTCAGAGTCAGAATTGGAAGAAATGGTCACCAAAGATGTTTTGTTTCCTTTGCTTAGGAAATGAGATGTGGGCTAGAGAGTAGTTTCAAGGGTAAAGGTGATGGCCGCCAAGCCTGACAACCCGAGTTTGACTCCTGGGATCCATGTAGGAGAAAGGACTGACCCCACAAGCCCTCTAAACAGATCAATGGCCGTTTCGTTCTCATGCGCTTGTATGTGAGAACGTACACACTCACGCACATACAGAATTTTATACGTTTTTATAAAGACTTAAGTTTCTCTTTAGGTGTATCTATTGAACTGACTGGGAGATGGGGTTAGGTATAGCTATTGGATTGGCCCCCACATTACTGGCTCCTGTTCGTGGGAGAAGGGGGTTTGCTGCACTAGTTCGCATTCTGGATAAAGAGGTGAGCAAGAAAGTTGAATTTGAATCACCAGATTATTTCATGATGTGACTAGCTGGATTTTTTTTTTTTTTTAGCAGAAACCTTAATTTTGACCTGGAAAAGCAAAGCCAGGTGGTTGGCAGCACAACCCAGCTCCCATAGTGTGGCCAGAGACAGTGCAGCGTGTGAATTCAGAACGGGGTGAGCTAGTCGGTCAGGATGTCCTTATCAATAGAAACTTCCTTATCAAAGAAACAGAGCCCAGCTTCTCCTAGGCAAGTCTAAGTGGGAGGAGGCCTTTGGCTTTTCCCCTGCTCTGCTGGGACCTTGAGGTCACTGGGACTGATGTGAGCCCTTCAGCGGAGTCGGCAGGCTCTCCTCACTTCCTCCACTGTGTGTCTTCTCCGGCCTCTGTGCAAACGTTAGCAGAACGGGAACCACAGCAGGCAAAGTTAGTTTAGGAGCATCGTGGCTGGAGCCAAGAAGAATGAATTCCAGCATTGAGTTCCCATGGGATTATATGCTGTGGTCAGGGGACTGAAAAGTAAGTTCTGGGGACAGTTCAGTGTCAGGGAGCCTCTGGGGTCAGTCGCTGGTACTGCCATCTTTTAAAGGCTGTGGATGTGACTCAGTGGTAGAGGCCCTGCATGCTAGCATGCATAGCTTCTGTGTTCAGTCCTCAGTACTAAAGGACAGGAAAACCTGCCACCACACTTACCACTTTTTGAACGATCGAGGTCAGGTATCCACAGCACTTGATTGATCTCATTACGTTCTTGTCTTTTCAGGCTCGACAACCTCCTCGTCCACTATCCATAACGAAGCCGAGCTCGGAGATGATGACGTTTTCACTGTGAGTTTCCTTTGCCCTTTGGTTCTCCTTAGGGGATGACTATGGGGAAGTCGCCCGTTGTGGACTCTGCGTTGTGGCATTTGCAGTTGTCGTGTGGCCGCTATTACAGAAAACTCTGTCATCCCAGCTTTTCCTGTTCTGGTCTTGACCACCACCTCGCTCATACTTGAAGTGACGCGGCCCACCATGCAGCACAGCAGTGCCCACACTCCCAGACCGTCCAAGTTCAGGTCCTGAGGACTCCTGGCACTCTCAGGGGGCATCTCCTCTGGTTTGCCCAGGGCAGTCCCAGATAGACCAGAATAGTTGCCCACCGTCTTTGCAATCTTCTGTGAACACACTACTGCTGAAAGGAAAGCCAAGGGGGAGGGGACACATGCATGCACTAGCCAGTGAGTCCACATGCTAAAATGGAAGGCCTGATGTTGGGTTATCGTGTAGACAACGCTTCCGTTAATGAGATGTAACTGGGACAAAATGATTACTCCGCTTCCTTCTCCATGGAAAGCCCGTGCTTCTGAAGATGGTTGTTTGCTTATCCTGTGCTTGGAGCAGGGAGTAGACACTAAGCAGCATCTGGAGGGCCAGCTCCTTGACCCGCAATGAGAAAGGCATTGTTGTGACCCAGCAGGCTTACACGTCAGTGGATCCTGAAAGTTCACCTTCATGCTATACTGTCTGGCCTTGTCCTATTTCATTTCCTGTTTGGGTCCTTTTGATTTTTTGTTTTTTTGGGGGTTTTGTTTTGGTTTGTTTTTTTGGTGAAAAATCTAAAGAATAAAATAGTGCCTGTCGCTGGGCTGTGGTGGCGCACGCCTTTAATCCCAGCACTTGGGAGGCAGAGGCAGGCGGATTTCTGAGTTCGAGGCCAGCCTGGTCTACAAAGTGAGTTCCAGGACAGCCAGGACTACACAGAGAGACCCTGTCTCGAAAAAAAAAAAAAACAAAAACAAAAAAAAAAAAAGTTAAAAAAAAAAAAATAGTGCCTGTCCGTGCACAGCACCTAGATTAAGCAGGTCTGTCACCCCAGCAAACTGGCTCAATCTGTACCTGTTAGTTCTATTCCCGTGACTCTGCTTACGCAAAGTATCCTATCAAAGGTGGCTTATGGGAGAGAGGGGTACTCTGGCTCACAGGTTATGGTTGGCTACAGGCCATTGAGGCAGGAGTCAGTGGGACAGGGGCTTGAGACAGGGTCACATTACATCTACCATTGAGAAACAGAGGCAGAGAGCCATGGATACCACTGCTTGGCTGAGTTCATCCTTTTGTTTAGTCCAGGATGCCAGCCTGGGAATGATGCTGCCCTCATGTAGGGTGGATCAGCCCATCTCCTTAACATAATGAAGATAATGTTTCACAGGCACAGCTGGAGGCTAACCTAATGCTTCACAGGCACAGCTAGAGGCTAGCCTAATCTAGATGCTCCTAGATAGTCAGTCTCTTACTATGATAATAGTATATTACTCAGTATATTCTGTTTATTTGTTATTGTGTTACTATCTGTGCCTGCTGTGAAAGTGGGCATGAGTGCCACAGTGTTCTGAGTGGAGTCTATTCTCTCCCACTACCTTTAGGTGGGGACTGAGGGATTGAACCTGAGTCTCTAGGCTTGCATGACAAACACTTCTCTGGAGGACTGTCATCTCACAGGCCAACATGAGTATTAACCATAAGAGTGCCAAACACCCGAGTACACAAGGGCTCATGTGCACACAGAAATGTTTTACTGATCCAATTCAATGTAAATTCTCCTATATGCTTACTGTTTGGTTGGTTTTTATTTATATATGTTTGTCTTTATATGTGTGTGCATGCACATGAACACTACATGTATTTGGATGCCAGAAGAGGGGCTCCTATCCCCTGGAGCTGTAGTTATAATGGTTGGTAGCCACCCCTCCCCCATGCAGATGTTGGAACTAAACTCCCACTCTCTGGAAGAGAACCCTTGCCCACTGAACCATCCCTCCAGCCCATCTTTATCAAACATCTCTTTTAAAAATAATAATAAATATAATAATAACATTCCCTCACAGAGTCTGCTGTTCTGATAGTTCGTTAGCCATCTCTCCAAACCCACAGAATATATAACAGCCACACTGGGCCATAAGGAACACTGAGATCCTGGGGATAACATATATGCTGGTGTGGTTCACTGACTTTGTAGTTGGGATTTTGTTTTTGCATTTTGGGTTAGTTGGGTGCTTGCTTGCTTGCTTTGTTTGTTTTGAGAAAGGGTTTTACTGTGTAGCCCTGGCTGACCTGGAGCTTGCTTTGTAGTCTAGGCTGGCCTTGAACTCATAGAGATCCACCTGCCTCTGCTCTGCCGCCTATTGCTGGGATTAATTGACGGCACCAGCACACCTGGACAGTTTATTGGATTTTTAACAACAGTCTGGTGCGTGCCGTTGCTGATAGGAGAGGCTGCATGGTGTGAGGCAGAGAATATGGACGGAGTCTCAGTACCTATAAGTCACTGTGGTTTGTAAACCTAAAATGAAACAGGAAATGAAGTTGAATGACGGTATTTAAATGTAACAAGGCCTGTCTGCACTACACAAGGACAGCACTAGGATTTCATAGTGCCGTCTAGTACCCAGTTGCCCCAAGACTCCCTTTTGTGAGCTGTTTTTTGTTTTAACTTCACATCTTAAAATGTTAGGAGTAGTTGAAACTTGTTTCTCTGGATTCATGCTTTGTGGCCGTCAGTGGGAAAGACATTGCTTTGGGACTATACAGGTGTGTGAGGGGAAGGCACCTGTGGTCACAGCCAGTGGCGGGGCATACAGAATTGAGTTTGATCCACAAGACATCTAAGAATGAGCAGTGGGCAGACTGTGGCAGTCCAGTGTACACATAAGATGGGCTCAGGAAACTCCTCACTCTGACGGGTGGCTGAGCAGGACTGACATTACACAAGATTCTGGAAAGGGATCCGGTCTAGGGAGCTCTGGGTACAAATGAGGCAGGAGTGTGAGTTGTGGGGCATCACGGTCCAGACACCACAGAAGCATTGTATGTGGGGCTGTCCTTCCTTGTCGTGGCTGGTGGATATGGCTGGTAGACACAGGCTTCCTCTAGTGCTCCGAGCAGATCCTCTCAGCAGTTGGCAGGTTGCTTACATCTGTTCTTTTGTCACGTTTGGGGAGACAGACAACAGCAGGCAGGTTAAAGGTGGTTTCCTGTGCTCCAGAGCAAAATCGTAATTCGCAGCTGCTTCCCAGCTACCTGCCAGAAGTGATTTATAGGCAAAGGCGAGGGTGGGAAGGGAAGGGAAGGGTGACAGATGCCAGAATCAGCTCCACTTGTCCTTTAAGCTGCAGGGGATTCACACACTGCTCTGGGGAAAGACTGACTCCAGAGAAAGGCACCCGTAACAGATTGCATTCCATGTAGACCTGGCTTATGGGGGTCACTTGCCTATTTGCAAACATGGGCCTATTTATAACAGGCCCATCTTGATTCCGAGGCTGTTGACTGTGGAAAGATGGGAGAGTGGTAGGGGCTGGCATGCCAGATTCCCATTCACTGCTGAGCTCGCTGTAACTACAGATTGTGTCTCAAGACAGTAATGGCGTCTGAAGTGTGAGCCATGGGAACAAGCAGCATTTTACAGCCTGAGTAGTCAGCCGCTCCCCGAGTAGATGCAGCGTTCTGAAACTTTTTGTGGAAGACAAATGGGATTCTTATCAGAGCATCCCCCTCTTCGGATTCTTGAGAATTAAGATTTTTTTTTCCAGAGGTGACCATATGCCTTTGGGAAAGCCTCAGAGTTATCACTGGAGAGTTCAAGCATACATGTTTTCTATCTCTGCCACTGGGGCCAGAGGTATCTTCAGTTCTCAGCATTCCTTGAGACTTGGGGGACACAGGATACTATAGACACTGTGGGTACTTAAGAGCACACATTGCTTAACTTACACACTGGGGACACCAGGTGGAGTGTGTGCCCCCCAGAGGGTTCACATGTTACTGCCTAGTCAGCCCCAGTATGGTAGTGTTGAGAGTTGGTGGAAACTTTTAGGAATGGGGCCTGGTAGGAGGTTGAAGAGGCTTACCTCAGAATGGTGCTATTCTTGTGAGACCATGGTTGGTCTCTACCAGTGTAATCTTCAAAGGTAGGTCCCTCACCAGAGCCTACCCAATGCAGCTCTATGGTTTTGAACTATGAGTTAAAGAATGCTTTATAAAGCAGCTGTTTTAGTAACAGAAAATAGTCAAATACATGGACTAGACCTAGACAAAGGGGCACACACCTAGCTGCCCTGTGGAGGGGTCATGTGGCCATGTGGGCTCACAAAGCATTGACCTGACTTTGCCTGAACACTTTCCCAACTGTCAGAGTTATCCTTGGAACCAACCTGTCCTTTTCACTTCTCAACATGAGAAACCAGGTTGTCTTCCCACAGGAGGATACCTGCTTGTGCACATTGTTAGCATTTGCCAATGTTGTCTGCTCTCCCTGCCTTCTCCCCCCCATCCCCCCCCCCACCCCCCCGTGTTCCCTCTATTTCAGGCCTATATTCAAGCCTGTGCCTATCCATGTCTTTCTTGTCAGGTCTCACCAGAAACTCTTGACTAGCTGCTGCTCTGTCTCTGAAATTCTGTTGTTTGCCCTGGAACTCAGTCTAAAGACCAGGCTAGCCTTGAACTCACAGAGATCGGCTGTCTACCCCTGCCTCCCAAGTGCTGGGATTAAAGGCATGATGCACCACCAGAACCCAGCTAAGAAATAGTTTTCTCTCGGTAATCACAGCAGACTTCCCAGCTTGGCCAGCACCCCATGGTCCCAGGGAAACACAGGTTCCCCTCAGTAGTGTTGGTCTCTTGTTGATTCTTGAGCCCCAGATGATCAGCACACATACATTTTTAGCCAAAGTATTACAGTAACACCCTCTATCCCCAGTCTAGATAGTATCTATGCTACCCTCTGAAACCCTGAGGGCCAAGCCTCCATTGTCCATGTTTCTCTCAGAATTCTTAGCTCCCAAGATCCCACAAGAATGACCCATTAAGTTTTTAGTCCTCACCAGGAAAAGGCCAATCCCTGAGAGTAGAGGACAGCCAGGGCTGCACAGACAAACCCTGCTGTCTCAAAAGGAGGGGGTGGGGGGAGGTCAGGCTTTTATTTCCACATGATATACGTCTCTTTGTCATGGTGTCTGGAAGCCACGATTATAAATGGATCAGCCATGCTCAGTCACACCAGAGTACCTGAGAGGAACCAATGGTTCATGTTTTATAATTCTAACATTTTAGATGTAGAGTCAAAAGACCAAGTCAGTGTGGGGAGAGGGGAACAGAGACTGAGGAAGATGGGGGGGTGCAGAGACAGAGTGAGATGGCTCAAAGGTTAAAAGCACCTACTACCACTAGTACCCAGTTAAGGTGGCTGGCTCACAACTGCCTGCCTATTAGCGCCAAGGGATCTAGTGCCCTCTGCTGGCCTCCATGGGCACCTACACTCACATGCACATTATTAAAAATGAAATAAGCTAGGCCCATGGAGGCCAGAAGAGGGCATCAGACCCCCCCAGAATTGGAGTTAGAGGCAATGGAAGCTGTCTGATGTGGGTGATGAGAACCTGGGTCTTCTGCAAAAACAGCAAGTGTGGGCCATTCCTCCAGCCCCCAGCACACACACCTTTAATCCAGCACTGGGGAGGCAGAGGCAGGTCTGGGCTATATAATGAGTTCCAGGCCAGCCAGGGCTATGCAGCCAGACCCTGTCTCAAAAATAAATAGATGCTTAAAAATAAATTACAGGGATTGGAAGGTCCAGAGAGTTGTCACAGCCAGGAAACAGATAATGTTTGGATTTGTGCATGTTAGAGCTGTGTGTTTTGTAGTTGCTTATTTGTGTGTGTGCTCATGTGCACTCATGTGTGCCATGGCAAATGAAGTCAGAGGACAAATTTTGTGAATCATTTCACATGCTGTAGGTTCTAGGAAATAGCATCTCATGGTCCAGGTACTTGTACCTACTGAGTGGGTTTTGTTTTTTGATGAACTGTGTCTTGCTTCTCTCCAAACAGACAGCTACAGACAGTTCTTCTAATTCCTCGCAGAAGAGAGAGCCGAATACAAGGACAATCTCCTCCCCCACATCTTGTGAGCACCGGAGGATTTATACCCTTGACCCATACCCCGTGGACCATTACCACCCCGACCAGGTGAGCGGGACACTTCATTCCTCTGGAAACATAAGGAGAGCTCTGCCCTGGCCTTCTCACTTCTCCCCAGCCAAGCCATGTCTGCCCACCTACCGTCCCCTTCCCCGTGGTGAAAGTGCTGTAGGTGGTAGCAGCTTACCCTCACACAACACCTTGCCTCAGCCTGTGTGTGCTCTGCATGGCTTAATCTTAATCCAGATCACCCCACGAGGCAGGGTGTGAGCGAGCATCCGTAATTTATTGATGAAAACCTGTTGACCACAGGTGTGGGGGGCGGGGCACGGGACATCCTAGGCAAGAATTCTGCTAGGCTCTGTGTGTGTTTCTCCCTCCAAGGGGCCTTCTGGCTGTGAGATCACAGGGCCCTAGTGCACTCCTGCTTTCACCCCAGCATGCGGGCTCCAGGCACAATCTTGCCCAGGGAGATATATCTATAGTCTGAATGCGATAATTCAACAAATATTTACCAAGTGGCTGTTTAGAACAAGTTCCCAAGTAAACCATGGGTTATGGATTGGTGCCTGTGTGGGTTACATGGCCTCTAGGCTAATTTGAAATGAAAAGAAGCAAGCACTGGACAGGGAGGTTTTTTGTATTTGTTTTTGTTTTTTTGTTTTTTGTGGGTTTTTTTTTTTTTTTTGCTGTGGGTTTAAAATGGTTTTACTATGTGCTTTCTAGTATTTTGGCATTAAAATGTTCTTTTATTATCTGGGCATGGTGGCATACACCTGTAATCCTGATTTTGGGAGGCTGAAGTAGGCCAGCCTTAGCTACATGATGAACTCCAAGCCAGATCAAGCTAAAAGTGAGAGGCCCTGTCTTAACAAACAAAAATTCAACAACAAAATATTCATTTTAAAACTAGATGTGCACAGGCCTGCAATCCTAGCACTTGGAGATTGTTGCTGTGTGATACAAATACTTTTAAAAAAAAAAAAGCAAGAGAGAAAGGGAGCCGATGGTGATGGAAAAAGCAGCAGGTTTAAGGCGCCTGTCATTTTCTGACTACAGCCTAAGGAATGATTGTACTCAGGTGTCTTCACCTTTTTATACAGTCCTAAATTCGTGCCTAGGGAATGGTGCATAGTGGGTGTGGTGTGTCTCCCTACCTAATCAATATAACCCCCTGCAAGGCTATCTCTGGTGATTCTCATCAAGTTGACCCTTGAGATTAACCATCAAGGATGCTTGTCCTAGTGTCAAATCTGATCAGTATCTGGAACCTTCTTATCTTTCTTGCATTTGTATGTCTGTCTTTTCAATCAGATTACAAAGTCAGTGCAAGCTAGTGAACCTTGTATGCTGTTTTCTTTTAAAAATAATTTTCTTTTGTAAAGGGTGAGTGAGATGTCCCTTACAGAAAAGGGTGCTTGCTGAATTATAAGCCTAGAGACCTGAGTGATCCCCAGAACCCACGTAAAGGGTAGAACAAGAGAATCAACTCCATAGGATGGCTCTGTGACCTCTACATGTGTGCTGTGGAATGCACACCCACTAAATAAATGAGGTCTCACTATGAGCCCTGGCTGTCCTAGAACTCACAGAGATACGATTCCCTCTACCTCCTGAGTGCTAGGATCAAAGCCATACCACCACATCTGACTGTGTTTTTGTTTTTAAACATCATCGAGAGCTGGGCAGACAGAAGTCTCAGTGGTTAAGAACCTGATGCACTTGCAGAAGACCCAAATTCCCATCCTAGCACCCACAGATCGTAATGACATATAACTCCAGTTCTAAGATACCCAACTCGCTCTTCTGTCCTTCTTGGACATCTCCACACAGGGGTACATACATGCAGGCACACACACAAAGGCATAAAACAAATTTTTCAAAATTGAAAAGGGAGGGGGAGGGAGAGAGGGA